TCTTCCACGTTGGCCCAGCCCAAAAATCATCTGCATGTGGCCAGTGTGTTAGGGATCTGCCCCAGCTGTATCATGCTAGGGGTTCTAAGTGGTCGATGATAACTTGGGGTAGGGATGAGTCCTGGCATGGGTTTGGTTACCTGAGTGTTAGTACAGCCAGTGCCTAGGGGAGCAGATGTGCCAAGCAGGAGCTCGAGGCCAGGGAAGGGCTCTGGCCAAAGCTGAGAGCTCCGGCTAAGCTGACTGGGCTCTCAGCCCTCAAAGGGGCCAGAGCAGGCTAGGACATGAAGCAGACAGATTATGCATCCGACAAGGCAGAAGCTCAAGCCCTATGTTCTTAGGTGAATAGAGGACTTGGGAAGAGAGAGGGGAACCATATTTAAGTTTCTACTACTATATATTGAGTATAGCTAGCACCTAGGCCTCATTGATGCCATTCCATGATGGGGTCTGTTTCCTGCAGGATATATCCCAAGTGCCATCAGATATTGAAGGTAATGATGTTGGTATTCTATTTCTTCCATCATCTCTGGCTTACGAATAGGGATGGGTTTGTCCTTGTAAGGGGTTTATCCATGTATCTGGACCCTGGAGAAGGTGAGGGTGGGAAGCCAAGGCGAGCTGATGGGTTCTATCTCTATGATTATTTCCCCTCTCCTCACCCTAGGAACCAACCCCACCAGCCTTTAGGGGGAAAATGGGTTGTCCTTGGTCTTCTCTGATTTCTTGTGGCATGCATAGCAATCCCATGGTGAGTTGGATAGTCTGATCATTTGCAGATGAAGGAAGGGAATCTCAGGGAGGCTGGTGACTTGTGCCTTTTGATTTCTTTAAACTCCAGTTCTCATTAGACAAATGGAATAATGAAACCAATCTCACAGGTTCCTGTGAGGATTATTGAGACAATGCATGTAAAATCACTGTGTAAGGTTCTATTCAAATACTGATAATTTTTTTGCTATCATAATTAGGACTAGTTTAAAGATCTTTTGTCTCTGAATTCAATACCCTTTTTCCCCCAAAGTTGCTTATTCATTCATTCATTTATTCATTCACTCACAAGCTTTGAATGTTTGTGAGGAGTCAAGTGCTATGCTAGATCCTGGAAATAGGAAGCTGAAATACTACTAAGAGGAGACCATAGGCTAGAGGTGAGTCAGGCCCTCAGAAGGAGCGAAGCAGGCAGTATAGTAGTTGCCAACATAGGTGTATAAGGAGCATGGCAAGGGCATGGAGGGCAGCAGGTGGCTGTGTTGAGAGGGGAGTGGCATTAGGGAGGCTCCACTGCCTCATCAGGTGCTCCCTGTCCTCCCGCTCAAGACCCTCATGCTCACTCTTCTGTGGGACAAGATCTGTTTTGGGAAACAGTAAGGAGTCTACAGTGGGGAGACCACTCAGATGGACCTTTGGGGGTCCACTGACTCTCACGAACATGCTGGAGGCCCAGATGAGGTCAGACTGGCCTGGCTTATAAAACAACAACAACCAAAGCATCACAAAACAATAACAACAACAAAATAAACCTAAACGGTTAAACCAATGACCGTGAATTAGAATGACTACATTTATGTAATAACCACTAAAGACAAAAGGGAAAAATAATCTCACTAAAAACAACCAAAAAAAAAATCTGGATGCCTAATTTGTAAATGCGGAGTTGCAGGGGGGGAAATCTCCCTATTTGGAGTTTATTGCCTCCTGTTGTGCATCTAATTATGATTAATCATTCTAAACTTTACAAGCCAGGGTTCTGTCACAGCTAGTGGAACAAACTTTCCATCATCCTTACAGAATAAAGACACAGCTCTAGAGAGTGACCTCAAAACAACCTTGAGTTGACACAGTGTTTGTGATGTGGGATCCAGATTAGTAGTGGGGCTCTGCAGCCCATTGCTGCTCAGAACCCTAATATCAGCGGCTAAGATCCCCTTTGAAAGGCTTGCCATAGAGCAGGACACCTGTAGCTGTGTGTACATGTACAGTTCTTTGAGTCAACCCCATACCATACACTGGCCAGTAATTCCTAATTAATTGCCATAGAGGGGTAGCATTTTGCAGATTGGGAAACTGAATCTCGTAGTTTAAGTAATTGTTGGGTGAGACTACCCCTGATGATACCACTGGGCAATTGTATTTGGGTCCATAGAAACAATGTGGCCTCTTTTTTAAAAAATCAGGCTTGAAATTGATGCAAATTGAAGTCAAACTGGACATTGCAGCCACTGGTTCTTTATTGATGTCAGTTATTCCCCAAACTCTCCGAATACCTTACACATACTCAACACATATTTGAAAAATCAAAGCATTTTGTAGCTGCAAAATATCTTAGGGATTTTTAGATTCAACCTTCCTCCTTCATTCATTAACTTCATTCCATGGAGTCTAGTCCATGAAATAGTCCTGGGGAACCTTGCACTAGGCACCCAATGAGGAAATCAAGGGCCCCCCCAACGAGAAACTTTAATCAAGGTTGTCAGCTGGAACAAGAGCATAAATTGTCTGCCTCCAGGACTCAGTATAAGGTTGTGCAGGTTGGGCACTGCACAAAAGCAACTGGGTGAGGGGATAAGTGGGGTGTGAAATCTAGTCCACAGCTGGACTGAAGGGAGGTGTGTCTTTTTCCTTTCACAAAGGGACCATCCACTCACTGCGCCAAGTGGGGGGCCACATCTGCTCTGAGAAATGTTTGGATGCAGAAGGGCAATGTTTAATGAACAGAGGCCCAGATTGCTGTGTGTTTTATGGGTTAATTGATTCCTTCTGCCTTTTTGTAAGCAGAAACAGAGTGCTTTTTGCTGTTCTGTGATCTGTCTCTTCATATTTCTGCATCTTTGTATCTATAGGAGCAAATGGATAAGAAGGCTAGTGCTGAGAACAGGGGCAGCATTCACTCACTCTGGGGGCACCCAAGGAATGTCCCATACATACCTATCTGTCGGAGTAAACTATAAGTCCTTGTCTATTTCTGCTGCTTGCAGTCCTGCTGGAGTCTAGTCCATGGAATAGTCCTGGGGAACCTTGCACTATGTGGAGGTCATGGGGCACCTTAGTCAGAAGTCTTCCTGGGCGACTGGGAGACTATGATCTAACGCATTTGCTCATTCACTCACTCACTCACTCACTCACTCATTCATTCATTCATTCATTCACAATCTTTGAATGTTTGTGCCCATGGACATGTGCAGACATTAGTGAAGAGTCTTCAAGAAATGTGCACAGAGAAAAGAAAGGGAGGCCATTGAAACACCTTAGAAATGTTTTAAAAAATAAGACCAGAGAGGCTTTGCACACAAATAACTAAGCAGGCAGATCAGGCATATTTGTTAGTATTTTTGTTTTTTAGAATAAGAAATAAATTAGGCACTCTATTTGCATTTTCAAAAGCCCTTTACTTTGTCTTCTTGTGAATTCTCTTGGTGCTTCCTGGGCCCTACCCTGGGCTGAGTTCCTGCTTGTAGCTCCCAGAGCCCCCAGAGAAGCAGAATATTAATGCCTACTCCTTCCACCCCTTCTAACCTTTTGGAGAAGACCAGCCCTTCCTGCTCTTACTTCTTAGGGGTAGGGCTTCTGAGCAGTAACCAGGAGGGTCACATGAGCCTGAGCCCCACTTGAGAATGACCTGGGCCGGTGTACATCTGCCAGGTGTCTGATCCTTTATGGAGGAGGCCTTATCTGATTAGGCCTTAATTAAATACCAGATATTAGAAAGTAGAACATCATTAGAGGTCGCTAATGGGCACTCCATCACCCACCTGCATTATCCACTGTGAAGACAGGAAATAAAACCAGTGACCTGTGTGCCCTTTGCCAGAAGCCTCCAAGCCAAATTAATGTTTGTGAAACTCAGATTCAGAACAGACGTGAGTCTGGATTTTGTTTTTATAACTCCCGAATACAGGTCATTGTTCAATGTTCACAGCAAAGCTCAGGCACTGTGTAATTTTTCAGAAGATGGTGCAGAAAGAGGGTTTTAGAGCATGAATATGGGTAACCTTCCAGAGGAAATGTTCAGATGGAACCAGCCAACTGATACATCACCCTGTCAACTTCCAAGCGGCATCTAAGAGAGCTTTTGCTTTGATCTTTATAACAATGAATACACAGAGAGACCCCAAAATTAGATGTATGTGTATGCCAACTAAGAAGTTCCTCCTGCCACAGGTCTTGGAAAGTCTTGGAAGTGACTCATTAGCAAAAGCCACTTAGAGCAGGGGCTTTGTCCTGGCCCATCCTCTCTGCCTCTCTATGGGCTGGTCAGCAAGGGGGAAATGTCAGAAAATGTCTACTTTCTACTGGGGCCTGGCTCTGAGCCTGGCCTTCACATGTGTTATTTCATTTCATCAGTACAACCACCTGCTTAGTAGATGTTCTTTTGGGCTGTTCTTTGGAGAATTGGAGTTTGATTTGGTCAAGTAACTTGTGGAAAGTAAAACAGCTAATAATAAGAATATCAAGCACTTTCCAGTAAACCCAGGTTTTTCTGACTGCAGAGCCCATCATCTGGTCAAAACACTATGTTGCCTCTGTCATGAACCCACTGGTGAGGGGGTGAATCTGGTTGTGAACAGATGCAAGAGCAATAAAGGAGTCACCCCAGCCTTCTCTGGGTTTGAATCATCATGGAGTCTAACACAGGGTGGGGGTCATGAGAAGATTGTTAGAGTCATGGCATATCAGACCTGGGCCCTATTTCCACGGCCACATGTAACCTCTCCAAGCCTTAATTTCCTCAGTTCTAAATAAGAATAAAGAGTTTACTTCATAGAGTTGTTGGGAGGATTACTAGTACATAACATGGTGCATGTCCTGGGCTTAGTCCACCACATAGTAACTGCTCAATACATTTTAGGGAGAAAATGTGCAAGTAGCTTTCAATTCACTTAGTATAAACTAGCATGGTGAAGGGTGAGTATGTCCCACCCTAAATGTAGAATCAGAACCAGGCTAAAACCCATAGATTGAGCCCTGCAAAGTGTGGCCTTGGGGTTCGTATTTTCCAGTCATCACCATATTTAAAGGTAAAGTGGAAGAGGTGGAGCTGCCTGTAGAGAAGGTAGACATCATCATCAGCGAGTGGATGGGCTACTGTCTCTTCTATGAGTCAATGCTCAACACAGTCATCTTTGCCAGGGACAAGTGGCTGGTAAGTGTCCTGCATGCTCTCCCCTTATTGGTCTCTGGCTATTCTATTTCTGTTCTAGCCCTGACCTACAGCCTAGAACAGTGATGGTAAACCTATGACACGTGTGACAGAGGTGACACGCGACCTCATCTTTTTGGTTGATTTTTCTTTGTTAAATGGCATTTAAATATATAAAATAAATATCAAAAATATAAGTCTTTGTTTTACTATGGTTGCAAATATCAAAAAATTTCTATATGTGACACAGCACCAGAGTTAAGTTAGGGTTTTTCAAAGTGCTGACACGCCAAGCTCAAAAGGTTCACCATCACTGGCTTAGAAGAATATGAGGACTTGACCTTGAAGATAACCTCTTCCAGTCACCTCTCTTTAAACCAGGTCTGCTTCAGGGGACAGAATGATGGTCCCTGGGCCCAATATGTCTAACTGTCACAATGTTCTTCTGTAGGTCTAACCTTGGCTTCTTTCACCACAATTGAAACCCATTCAGTGTTGTCAAGGCAAAAGTCTATTCTAATCAACAAATACTTAGGGTGGCATGGCTGCCAATAGAGCCCAGAGTGTTTCTGACCTTGGCTTCTCCAGGCTGAAAGGTCATACCATCTTCCACTGTGTCCCCAGTGGACTTACCTTCCCCCGCTTTATTTGCTCTATTGATTCCATCGGGGTCCCTCAGTTCTCCTTACTCCAAAATAAAAAGTGAACATTGCCAGCTGAGCCCTAAATGGCCAAGGTGACAGTCTGCTGACTGAGAAGTGTTGGCAAGGGGCTGCCTGTCTGGTAACTCTATGTGCAGTTCAAAATGTGATGTCTTTGTCAGGTGAATAGATTACGAGACCCATTTCCCCACAATTCATCAACAGAAACCTGGAGGGCTTATGTTTCCAGACCGGGCAGCTTTGTACGTGGTAGCAATTGAAGACAGACAGTACAAGGACTTCAAAATCCACTGTAAGTCTCCTTTCATTCTCTGCTGGGCTTCCCCCCACCCCACCCCTCTACGTTTAGGGTGGGAGGCACATCAGGGGGCCTGAGATGAGCAGCTAGTTTATAAGCATACTGCTATGTGTGTGGAGTTCACCTGAGTCTCTCTAGATTCTTCTCTCTGTAATGTTTTCCTCTAGTCCCAAAGGTGGCAGGTCTGCGGAGAGAAAATAAACTATATGGCTGGTGTAAGGTAAATGTCCTGGGGGAGAGAATAAATGCAATGTTAATGAAAAATAAGTTAAAACCATAGAATCTGAGATTTGCAAAGAACAGAGGCCAAGTGGCTGGAAGTCAGTAGGTTAGTTATCCCCAAAGTCCACCACAGGGCTCAGAAATGCCAGATCTCTAGCCAGGCCAATCATCCTGACTCCTGCCGTCATACTACTCAAACTTACCAAAATGATATCCACTCTCTTTCATTAAGTAAAATATGTATTCTCTGAGGTTCTTTTGGGGAAGCAGTGGGGATGGGAAAAGATGGAGATTGCACGTGTGTGTGTGTGTGTGTGTGTGTGTGTTTGTGTGTGTGTGTGGTGGGAGAGTCTCATATTCAAATCTGTGTTCATAATACTTTATCAGCTGAAAACTTGTTTTCTTAGATTAAAAAAAAAGCCAAAAAATACCTTCATTGTTTTATCTGGTCCAAAAAGGACTGTTTTGTTCTATTTAATTTAAAGGATAAAATTTCTGTGACACAGTCCTGGTCCTTAATGAGGTTATACCAAACCTTTCATAAGGATAGGAATGGCCACATCTCCCCAACCAGAACTAAACACGACAACGCAGCAAAGCACCCCTCATATAAGTAACACACACATAATTCAGCCCAAAGCACGAGGCAGAAACTCCAGAAGTCCGACGAAGCCAGCAGTTCCTGCCCCTCCAGTGGTCCAGCCTTCTTTGGCAAGATGACTGTGGAGGGTCAGAGACTGAGCAGATGAGTAAATGCTTCCTGCCCTGAGAGGCTGAGACTCAATCGCTTGGCTAATTGATTCACAAAATGCCTTTAATAGCTGTTAGTGCTACTGGATGAGACCACAGCTGGACTGTGCTATGGAATGTGTGTGTTCACACCCTTCTGGAAATATAACATCAAAGCGTGATGTTGAGGTTCAGAAGAAGACAGAAATAGACGGTTGTTTGAGGCTCTGTGCCCTCTCTCTTCAGCCAGTCTGGCATCATTTCTAACATTTGACAGGATTCAGAGGTAGGGTGGCCCAGGTTAGATGCTTATGCTTTGAGGTCAGCCAGCCTTGGGTTCAAATCCTCCCTGGGTCACTTTGAACAAATTACCTAACATCCTTGAGCCCAAGTTAGAGATAATATCACCAATCCCGTAGACCTGTCATGAGGATAAAGTGAGATGATGCATATTGAAGGACACAGCAGTTCTTGGTGCTCTGTGGCACCAAACTGGTCTAGTCTCTGAACTGTCGCTCACTAAGCCCCTTTCTGCTCCTGGCTCTGGCTGACTGCTAAGCTTTCTGGCCTCCAGTGGCTCAGAATCTGGGACAAATGTGCTCTCATGGTAGGTTGCAGAAGCAACTCAACAGTGAATACTGATCAAATGTATGTCTAAATAGGGCACTTTTTGCCCTGGAGCTGCATTGTAACACTGCCCTTGGAGTCCTTGCTGTGTGACTGCACCGACAGGGTTCTGCGGAGAACCTCCAGGGCAGTCTTCATTCTCACGTGCACTTAAGTATTTATTGAGCTCTGACCCTGGGCACAGCTCTTTAAGGAATTTCCACGTGGTTTAAAAGCAAACATATCTTTTCCTCCTCCCTCGGTGGTGTTTGGGAACCTCTGGCATGTGCACCTTTTAATGAGCAAGTGGGGCCAGAAGAGGATCCGGCTGGCCCTGCGAGGTACTAGGGGCACTATGGCTACCCAGGTGCCAGCCCAGAACTTGAGATCATGTGATTGAGCCTTGCACTGTCTGTTGCAATTTTCATAGCTTCTGGGAAAGAAAAAAAAAGAAACTCAGCCCCATTTTCTCTTGTGGAATGCTTGCTCTGGAGTATGAAAAAAAACACACACAATACACACACACACACACACACACACAAACAGAAACAAAGATTAAACACACATTTAAAATCTATTTAAAATACAGTTAAGTTTTCTATTTAAATGTGCTTTTAAATGATATGCTTTTGTTTTTAGTAAAGCAGGAAAACCCATTTAGAAATCAGTTTCAAATAAATGAAGATTTTGGTTACTCTGAGTTCTAAATAAAAAGTAAAGCACAAAGGTTGCTGGTTGCTAAGGGAACAATTGTAAGCAAATTTCATTTGGCTTAAGAACCAGCTAAAAAAGAAAGATCTGAAGTGGGGCAGGAAAGTGAAACATGCCCAGTCCTTTCAGAAAATAAATTGTTAGGAAAACAGCTTCCTTTCCTCTCCCTTTCTCTCCCCACCTTGCTTTTCTTCCCCTCCCCTCCTCTCCTCTCTTCTCCTCTTCTTTCTCAACCACATGTAACATGGGAACACAAGAATGAGTAAAATATAGAACCTGCTCTCAGTTTGCTTACCAACTACTAGAGAAGATAGAAAGTGAGACAAATGACTGGCTTACAGCTTATACTAGGCTCACAATACATATTTTGTTGAGTGAATGAATGAGTAAACAAATGAAGGCATAAAAGTAAACCACAGAGGAATATAGAAGGCATACTGTTTAAACTTGAGAAAGGAGTAATTATTTTTTTAAAAATTCTACTATAATTTGGGAAAAGTAGAGTTATAGACTCTCAAATTTTGAAGGAACCGTGGTAAGTATTCTGTTTGAATTCTTACCCAGTACATGAATCTCAACCAATACATGAATCTACAAACTGCTGAGAGTCAGCGGGATGGATACTCGCTTCCTGGCTTATGAGAAAAGGATGAAAAGGAAGGCCTACTGTTGAGCCAGTGGGGCCTGCTGCTGGAGGGGTGGAGGGCAGGACCTCTGGGAGGGCTTGGTTGCTGTGCATGGTTTCTCCTCCACTTTTACCTCCAAAATCCAGAGCTGTAGTCTCTGGCTCTGGCCTAATTTAAACAAGGAGTTGACTTTGTTCTTAAGAGCCTAAAATATATAAAACTATTGTAAACACCTTTTCTTCTGTGTGGAGAAGAAAGCTGTCAGTGCCACCTGGTGACATTTGTTTTGTTCTCTGAGGCGGTCCCATTAGCCCCAGCAGAGAAACTCAAATTGCTGGGCCAGAGTTGGGAGGGAGGATGGAGCTACAGCTCTTGCTAATGAAATGTGAAATTTGTTCTCCAGTACTTCACATTTCTTCTCCTCCAGCTGTTTTTGAGGTTTTCCCTTTATTTTGATATTCATCAATTTGACTCTGATGTGTCTAGGTATGTTTTTAGTTGTTTCTATTCTAGTTGGGGTTCCATGGAATTCTGGAATCTGTGGGCTGATGATTTCATTAGTTTAGGGAAAATTTCAGCTATTATCTCTATAAATATTTTTTTTTTCTGACTGATTCTTTCTTTTCTTCAGGGACTCCAATTACACATATGTTAGAAGTTGTTAGACATTGTTTCATTGATCTTGGGTGATCTATTTTTTGTTCATTTTCCAAAAGAATAGCAGAGATAGATGAATAATATGTATTCCCAGGAAAGAATACGTCTTTTTCTCCACTGAGTTACTAAAGTGGTGATTTGAGTCAACTTAGTATGTAGTTTTGGTAGGCCTGGGCTTCATTGCTGCTTCAGTTATATTCATTGTACCCTGGTGCAGCTCTTTTAAAGAGTTTGTTTCAATCCTTAAGCACAAGTTCACAGATCCTTCTGATGTTATTTTTTAAATCACCAGAAAATTAATAGCAACATTTTCTGGTAGTAAATGGACCTTACTCCACATTCACTCATTTGGTAGATAAGATAGACTTGCAATAAAAATTAATCTGTTTGATTTGCATTATCTCCCATCCCTGCTCCACTTTGTTCAAGGAGGTTTTGGGAAATGAATGATCAGCAGAATGGAGAGGGAAAAATCTAATGTCCTGGCTGATCCTGAATAACTGAAGGCAGTATAGTCTAGCTGTGGACATAAGACATGAACTAACCCCTGGGGGAAAACAAAACAAAACACCTAAAACACAGGATATTGTGAAGCAGTATGGACACTAAATATTTGGGAATGAAAGAGCATTATATGTGAGTCTGTATTGAGCCAGAAGCTACACAGTAAGTACTGAGGATACAGGAGGGTCCCATGGTGGGGAATGGCTGGAAAGGGTTTATTAAAGGCCGTGAGGCTTCAAGCTCACCTTTGAAGGACTGGGAGAAATTTTAAAGGTTATCTAACACAAAGTTTCCACACTGTGGTTGGAATTGCCTGTATAGATTTGTAAAGTTACAGCTTTTGAGTCTGGAGGTTCTGAGTCAGTAGGTCTGGTTTGGGCCCAGGTATCTGTATTTTTTAAAGTGTCCCAGATGATTCTGGAACACAGAACTAGTGAACCAAACTCTTCATTTTATAAACAAGCTCAAGGAAAAGGTTGATCTGCCCATGGTCACACAACTCTAATGGTGGCAAAGCCAACGCTCCAACCATATAGTGACAATCACCATCTGTCAACCTCTCTCTACAGGCACTGTTAACTCAGTAACAGGGTGCCTTACACTCTGTATGTTTATTATCACGTTTAATCCTCATAACAACTGAAGTCATCATCTCCAATTTAAAGAAGAAGAAAGCAGCTCTTTGAGAGGATAATTTCTTGTGAAGGTTACACAGCAAATAAGTGGCAGAGCCCAGATTTGAACTCCAAAGCCCAGGCCTTTTAACTATTACATGCACAGACTCCCTCAGGCATTTGCCCAGCACTTGCACTAAATTCAACTTATGCCACAGCCGCGAGGGAGTAAGAGCAGGAGCATGGTGCAGGCTCTTAAGGAAGGATTCTAGACAAAGGCAGTGTGTCTTGGTGAGAAAGTTTCATCTGGGGAGAGGATGGGTAGGTATTTCCAGATTCTAGAGGGGAGTCTGGCGCATGTCCTGTTGCCGACCCAGCAGCTTCCTTCTCCAAATGCAGGTTTCAATTGGGAATTTGGCACCAGCCTCGGGTGATTTAATGGGGTTTGACTGGCATCTTATCCTCAAGCCAGACTTTCACAAGTGCTCATCCTCTGGGAGACGGTGATGTTCTTTGCCTCTTCTCCCTGTGGAAGGTCTTTATGTGCCTTAGAAAAGCATGAGTCAAAGGAACACAGCTCTCACTGGATGTTCTTTGTTCCCTCCCCACACACGCCCTCTCTCAAACATATCTTAGGGACATAGTTCCCTAAGATACCATGTATTTGATGAACATTTAAAAAATTTTAATCCTGAAAGATTTTAGAAAAAAGCATCTCTCCTTCAATGCATTTCTAAGCCCGTCTGTAAATGGAGAGTTCAGCTGCCTAGTAACTGAGGCCTCTGCAGGCCCCCCCTGCATGGTGCAGAGGGGAAATTGTATTCCCAGTGTTGTCATATTGGCTCAGTGCAGCTGAACCGTGAGGGGACAAGCTGGGTTTGTCCCCTAGTGCCACTATCTCCCTGATGAGTGACACTGGGCCTGATACTGCATGTGATCCAGATGCCAACTTCTTCCAGCCCTAATTCCTCATCTGACATATAGAAGTATCCATCCTCATGGGGTTTCCGAGGAGCTAAAGTGAAGAATCTGGCCTGGGCTTGGTAGTCACTCAATGATCACAATGATTATCACCATTGAAGGATGGTCTTAGACCATCAGACTTGCATTCATTTACTCACCAATCCTGGACCCGAAAACTTTCTTTCTCTCAAAGCATCTTATGAGCTGCCCACGGGGTCACCAAGCACCGCTGAGATGGTGTGTGCCCCACCTGGGGGGTATTTCTTATGGGAGAGCTCCATAGTGAGAGCATCATGGCATGTGAGAGAGGTAGAGACTCTCATGGACACCCCCTCATTTTGCAGTTAAGAAAGCTGAGATTCAGGGAGGATAGGGAGTTTGCATAAGTCTTGACCAATAAGTGGTGGTGCTGAGGTTCAAACTGTAGCCTCTTTCACTTTACACACCCATGTTTCTCTCTGCTGCATTGAAGGTTCAGTGAGTGGGGACTGGAGAAGGGAGAGAGATGGCCAACCTAGGTGTGTAGAATGGCTGGAGCAAAGGCACTGACATAGAAATGTGGGTTCAGAGGAGACTCTGCTATATCAGAGATGGGGACAGGAAAGTAGGTGTAGGAAGACAGGTAATTTGGATTCTATTCTTAGGCCTGTAGCATTCTAGCTGTATGACCCTAGAGAAGTTTCCCAGCCTCTCTGAGCTTTAGTTTTCCTAACCATAAAGCAGGACCTGTACACATAAGATAGTGTGAATGAGCATTTGGCACATTGCAAAGCTCTCCACCCAGAGGAGCCATTCTGCTGCTATTCTGATGCAGGGGAGCACGGGCTGGCCCTCACCCCCTTGGGCATGCTGTGCTCTGGTACTCGGGAGGGCCTGGGAGACTTCTGGGGCTCCTGCTGCTGGCCCTCATGTGTTGCTCTGTTCCCTCAGGGTGGGAGAATGTCTATGGCTTTGACATGAGCTGCATCCGGGACGTTGCCATGAAGGAGCCCCTGGTGGACATCGTGGACCCAAAGCAAGTGGTGACCAATGCCTGTTTAATAAAGGTTTGCAGACTCATCTTTCATGGACCTGGATATGCTGGAGACCCAGTTGTGCCACCCTGTGGGCATGCCAGGAACCCAGCTGTGCCACCCTGGAGAGTGGTGGGCCTGGAGTAAGGCATTGCCAGCTCCTGCTCGGCCCCGGCCTGGTGTCAAGAACACCTTAGTCAGAGCCTTTGGCATCACAAGATGACCAGTCAAAAAATCATATGGAGAGAAACTGGAGTCCACAGTGGCACAGCTGATTGGAAGGAGACAGTACTTGTCCTTTGGTGGTGTTGGGGGCAGGGGGTAATAGAGGAGAGGACATCCTGCAGGCAGGAGGGTCTGTTCAGGGTTGAATAAACTACTCCATTCAGAGGTGAATGGCCCTCTTACAAAAGAAACCTGGTACCGAATATAATTGTATATTTGTATACAATTCTATAATTGTCATTACACTCCCACGTCCTAGCACACGTGGGACGTCCAGACAGCAATACCCACCTGAGTGTTCTTGTTCATACATGATCTAACATTTCCCCCCCAAAGCTTTCTTCAGTGCAGGTGCAGTAGTCCCACCTCTGTAGCCCCACCTCTTCCTGAATGGGTCAGCATCTCCATTATATCAATCCCTAGTGTGTTCTCATTATCATTGAATATCCAAACAAGCCAAATTTGATAGAGTAAAACACAAAGCTCCTCTTGACCTCCCCTCCCTTTCAAGCGCATGCTCCTCCTAGAGGGACCTCTATTCACACATTGAATTGAGCTTTCCAGTCCTTTTGCTAAGTCTTTGCATGCATATATGTTAATATATTATGTTGAGTCATATGAACTATTGATATGTGATTTTTTTAAAGCTAGGAAGACATTAATTTCATATGGTTCAAGCTGACTTTTTTATTTAAAAATCTGGATTCATTTATGTAAGTATTCATTAGCTCACTCAGCCCTAATCTTGCTAAAACATACTTGCCTGCTCTGTCCTGTACATATCACCTCTTTTCTGAAAATATTGGTGTGGAGGACTGGGACATTTACAGCGCATGAAGGGGAAGGGGCCCAGGGCCACTGGGGATGAGAGGAAGTTTCTGAAGGACTAATGCTGATTTGGCACATGAGGAATGTGCTTTGTCCCCAGACTCGGGCTTCCTAATACCACAGCCCTTGGTTCATAGCGTCACTGTGGCATTTAGAACAACTTCTGGGAGCAAATAAAATGACATGAGCCTCACACAGGTCTCAACAGACTCTGTCTCCCTCTCATAACATTCTATCTAAGAAGTTTGGCTTTGGGTCTAAGTCACAGACTCTCCACTGACACAGTTCTCACTACTTTATGCGACCAGTTGCAAGTCCAGGCAGGATTGACTGTGGTCAAAGGTGTCCTTTAACTTCTTCCTACCAGCCCCTCTGGCCCTGAAACCTCTCCCTTCGGGTGTCCCAAACAAGAACCAGGAAAGCACACTGTGAAACATGCTCACCATAGTGCAAAACATTTCTGTAACTACTGTGGAATAGATAGAAATCACTGTACAACTACATTTGTCAAAATGACTTGGGGCAGCTCTATTTGACCATTAGGCAGATGTTTGGCATGCCTTGAGCTTGGTGATAAAATTCCTCAGTATGCTTGGGCCCCAGGTGGCTTTCTGTCCCTGACCTGCTGGTGTGACACTGTACATCTGCTGGTCACACTGTGGACTGGCCTGCTTCCATCTGCCTGGGCACCCAGCTTCCTTCCTCTGCCTCATCAATCAGGACCCAGCAAGGGACTTCCCTTTGGTAGCAGCCAGGGGACAGCAGCCAGGCTCAGTGAAGGAGGCATTACAGGCACCAGAAACACCAGAAAAGGTGCTATTGAACAGCCCCCTGAATTGAAGGAGGACTGTCCCCTCCTCGGTTCTTGTCAGTCTCATAGGAAAGAATTCAAATGAGCGACCCTGGACAGCTGTGTTGTAGTAAAGCAAATAAATTAAAGAAACAAAGCAAGTAACTTTATTCAAGATTCAAGGCAAGCAAATCTATCAAGATACCACTGCCTTACGAAGCACAAATGGCCCTCAGCTAATCTGAGGAGCCCCGCCTAGTAGAGGTTCGGCTTTTTGTGCTTTTCTGTCTACCACTTTTTAAATTCCTCTGCTGGATATCTTGGTACAGACTACTTTCAAGGGCTCCCTTTTTCTTTGTTTATGGCTTTCCTAGAATTTATAAGAAACATTTGACAGTTTTATCTTGACAAGCCCGAGACTGCCGGCTTTGCAGGGGTAGGGAACATCTGGCCTGAGGGCCATATAAGGCCCACAAAATCATTGGGTCTGGCCCTGCCAAGGCATTAGGGGTGAATTAATTAAATGTTTGACCAAATAGAGCAGGCTAATTTTTAAGTTGATAATTTTTAATGGCCCCTGAATGATGTTATAAATATCCAAATGACCCTTCACAGAAAAAAGGTTCCTCACCCCTGGTTTAAGGAGTGAGATAAAACTCCCCCTACCTTCTCCCTTCCCTGAGATGGCTGACTTCTTTGTTTGGTGGGTGAGATAAACTCTCCCTTCTTTCCTTCCCTTTTCCCCCTCCTGCCTTAGCACTTCCAGGTTGATTTAAGCTATGTATTCTCTGGTTAGAGAGGAGAGACATTAGTCATTTGTTCTCAAGCTCCTTGACTGGGAAAGATAAGATCTTGCTGCAAATTGTCTGTAAAGCTGTCCAAACTTATTAGGCATTTAATTTTCTTGTCTCAGTTTCCCTATTTCTCTGCCTCTGGGATTTTTCCTAGCTCCTTACCACCTTGTTACAGAAGGGCAGAGAGGCTGTGAGGAGGTGTCAGGACTGGAGCTCTGAGCTGCAGTCCTGTCCCTCCCTGCCCCACTCCCTGACCTCTGGGAAGGCTGGGGACTGGCTGTGGTTGCTTCCTCCACCAGGAGCACCCTTCCACCAGGAGCACCCCTCCAGCAGCTATCTTGCTAATGTGCTAAGCAATGTCATGCTGAGCCTGTTGGGAAAACACTTGCCCTTATTCACACACTTAATTGCTATTTTCATGCTATTAACGTTGCAGAGTGTGACACTTTATTATAATTAAGACTCTGTTTTGACCAGACTTCTGCTCTGAGACAACCATTTGTAACATTATTTAGTGGTGGGGATAGCAGCAACCAGGGGCTCTTCTGAGTAATTGATGCCTGCGGAGCCCTCCACTTAATGGGGACACCTGAGGCCAAGCCATGGGGTTTCCCAGGGGTCTCAGAGATGCTGTTGCTGCTGTGAAAAGAAAGCAGCCTTTCAGCAAAGGGGCCTGGGTTTTGGGGGAGCCAGGATAACTGCGTTTGATTCTGTAGACTTGGGGTCTGAGACAATGGAGCTGAGCTCAGTAGGTGTCCGTGGCTCAGAAGCCCAGCCACAGCTGATCCCACTCTCACAGATGGCCCAACCCCCACTCCTAGAGACCCACTGCCTCCACTGGCATCATTTTAATGTATAGCTCCATTATTTCTGTTTTGGAGGCTTTTATTCCTTCGTAGGTCCCCATTAAGATGCAAATGTCTGCAGGACCTAGTGGAACACTGTCAGCTAATACTGTTGATAGTTGACATTTGGTTGATGGACAGTTGAGAGCAAGACCCTATAGTGGTAGAATTCCTGATAGATGGGTGGTGTGTGTGTGAAGTGAGGGGAGTGACAAGGAAAAAGAGCCAAGTCTAGATGTGTCACAGAGCCCACTTTCCAGTTCTCCCCTCTTACGTTCAAGCCAATAGGTTTGGGTATTTTTAGCTAAGCCATGAGGACTCATGGGAGATTTTGGATGCAGGGAGCAGCACAGTCTGAGAGATTAGTCAGTTGGTATAAAGGAGAGACCTGGGAAAGGGAGGACAGTTGTCACATAGGAAACCTGTCAGGTGCCATGTCACACAGCGAGGGTACACAGACCAGTAAGGTGTAGCCTCTGTCAGTACAGAGCTCCAGTCCAATGGCAGGCGCAAGACAAAGGTTGTGAGGCTGCTGGGATGAGCCAGAAGTAGGGTAAAAAGACCAGGCTAGGCTCATGGCAGAGGGGACAGAGAAAAAATGCCACGGACCTTGGAAAGAGCCTGGAGCCTGGCTAGCTGGCCCTGACTAAGAAGGAGATGGAAAAGTCAGTGAGTGCAGGCACTGGGAGCCTGGTGGACTGTGCTGATGCCATTAATACAAATACAGTCAGCACAGCTTGTTTTGAGAGTTGTTGAGCTGGTGGGAACCTGTGGATAACATGTGGCCAGGAAGGATAATGATCAACATGAAGGCTGACAGGTACTGGGTCTAAACAGACTTCCTGAATGGGAGTGATGGCCCGAACTAACAGAATGACATGTAATGGAGGGTCCCTGCACCTGGGCCCCAGGAAGAAAGGACAAAGGATTGTGAGAGGGATGAAGTTGGGGAGGGGATTGGCTGACTAAATGTAGGAGGAGCCAGCAGTGTGCTCTTTGAGGTCAGAGGCTGGTGAAGTTGTCAGAAAGCATGACTTTGGAGAAGCAAATGGAAAAACAGCGGCAGTTGGAGAAGAAAAGGTTTTGGTGTGAGCTGGAACAAGCATTCAGCTTATTCTGTGGGTGGAGATTACAGACTGGTACCGATTGGAGATGTTAGGAAATGGAATCGGTTGCCTGGTAGGTAGTGAATGCATCATCCCTGAGGTGTTCAAGCAAGCACCAGGTGCCACTTCCTGGAATGCTTCCGAGGGGCTCTTGCATTGGATTCAGGGGACTGGCTTTCTACTTCTGCATGCCCGACCCAGGACTCATCACTCCCTTAGTTCTGAACCTTACTGGGGCTCCCACATTCCCTTAAACCTGTAGTCCCACCTCTTCCCAACTAATAAATCAGAGCTCAGCTCTCCTGGGGATGTTAGAACTGCTCGCCACAGACACCAGAAGGCTCTGATGGCTGGCTCCCTTGACCACACCTCCTCCTCCTTGTCCCCTGGAGGCAGGACTTCTCTTTAAAGGTCCCCAGGTGCATCACATCTGCTTTTCGCTTATTTACCCCGGAAATATGTAGAGATAAGGGCATTTCTGCTACCATTACTTTGTCTCTTGCCTGCGCTTGTTTCCCACCCTCAGATCCCTGTCCTAATGATTCCCAACAGGTTTTGTCATTCCCAACACGTATTCCCAATGGTTCCTCTAGGAATCATCCCAGACACACATGTGTCTGGCTCTTGCAGTCCTCAGGACAGAGATCCTTGCTACATACTCCGACCATGGGAAGTCCTCCCTTAGGCCTCACTGAAAGCTGCCTGGATACCTTTTGGACTTTTGAAAAGTCTGCCCTGTCTCACTGGAGCCAGCAAACAACAGCCAACATTCTTCACATAGAAAAGAATGGCACAGTACAAACTTTTATTACACTTGCTCCCCACACACGATTGATTTTCAGCCACTTCCCAGCTGAAATTGTTAGAATTATTAGTTCTTCATTCTCCAGCCAGCACTGAAAATCTCTCACTTCTTATTTACCCTTTTCCCTTTATCTCCCTCTTTCTTCCTTCCTTCCTTCCTTCCTTCCTTCCCTATCCAGACTTGTTATAAATGCTCAGCAGGACTTCCTTTAGCTCAGTCAGTGACTGTGGGGAGGCTCTGGTCCTCATTCTTGTGATAATACTTGATGCCTCCTACTGCCAGGCACTTAAATATCAAACATCTGGGAAATGAGAGTCTGGTTCTCCCAGATTACTGGGAGGACGTAATAAAGCACAGATTGCTGTTCCAGTTAAGTAGGGCTAGGATGCCCTCCCCTCAAAATTTGTTCCCAGGTGATGCCCACACACGTCATTCTGGGACCTCACTGTGAGAACCACTAGATCAGTGATGACGAATCTTTTGAGCTCGGCATGTCAGCATTTTGAAAAACCCTAACTTAACTCTGGTGCCATGTCACATATAGAAATTTTTTGATATTTTCAACCATAGTAAAACAAAGACTTATATTTTTGATATTTATTTTATATATTTAAATGCCATTTAACAAAGAAAAATCAACCAAAAATATGAGTTCGCGTGTCACCTCTGACACGCGTGTCATAGGTTCGCATTACTGCACTAGATGAACACACGATGCTGAGGTGGACCACTCTGAGGACATTCGGGTTGGGTTTAGGATTGCTCTGTCGAATGAAGCTTCTTTTCTCTCCCCTCCCCCCTCCACAGCCACACCCACAGCAGATTTACCCTTTTAATGTTGTTCCCCCTGGGTGCTGACTCATATCTGTTTGTATCATTGTTCCACCCTAGAAAGGATGGAGGGGGTCATAGGGAGGGTGGTAGGTGGGCCTGGGGAGTCACCCTTAAGTAATGACACCCTGGAGCGTGTACGGTAGGTAGTCCCCTGCAGAATGCAGCTGCCCTGGTGGAAGTGCTAAGTGTCTGGCCTTCTCTCTTCTCTGGGCTGCAGGAGGTGGACATTTACACGGTCAAGACGGAAGAGCTGTCCTTCACGTCTGCCTTCTGCCTGCAGATCCAGCGCAATGACTACATCCACGCCCTGGTCACCTATTTTAATATTGAATTTACCAAGTGCCACAAGAAAATGGGGTTTTCCACAGGTGAGCCTTTTGTTGGCATTCTAGATCCTCCCTTCCCCCATAATGAGGTATTGTGGGGAGTGACACAGGGCTGGCCCCAACTTGGGGGAAGGACCTGGGCATTAGCCAGGGGCCCTTAGTTGGCATCTTTAAGCCTTCTGCAGCTGCGAAGTAATCTAAGAAAAATGCATGTCACCAAAATTTTGGCTTCCCAAGGAGAAGGTAAATAAAATTGTGACTGCCATGGCCAGAGCTATGAGAGAGCATTAAGTGAGGAGAGGCAGGGGTTTGGGGCCCTATTCAAGCGCACATTTGCTCATTCAGCATTTCTAGAGCATATTTTATGAGGGGGTAAGGAAACAGAGTGGAATTAGGTTTCTCTCCCCCTGCCATGCCTCACTACAGATTCAGTAGACTACAAGTGGCGTCTCTATGTGCCCTGCTTTCTTCACTACGTCCACCCAATCCATCCTCATTAATTCCCTGGCAGTGGTCCCCAAAGACCACCACTTCTCCCTCCCAGCCCTCCTGCAGAGGTGCCTCACTGCCTGTAGCAGATGAGCCCAAATGTCTTAGCCCAGTAAGTGGGAGTTCGGGGACTTGGCCCTAGCCCACTCCTCCAACCTCATTTCTTACACTTCCTTAGCTTTGCCTTCCACCCCTGTTCCATTCACACAATGCACTTTGCAATTCCCTGAACTCAGTGAGGCTTCTTAAGTCTCTGGGAATTGCCTCGCATACCCCAACTCTGTGTCCACTGCAGTGTGCCATGGGAGCAAGAGGGTCTTTACATTATGTCAGAAGCTCTTGTCATGTCCTTTCCTCCAGATAGCTGCCTTCTCCCTGTGTCCTCACATGGCCTGTCCTTTGTGTGCACACATCCTTGGTGTCTGTGTATGTTCTAATCTCCTTCTAAAAGGACATCAGCCAGATTGGATTAGGGCCCACCATAAGGGACTCATTTTAACTTAATCACCTCTTTACAGGCCCAGCTCCAAATACAGTCACATTATGAGGTATTGGGGTTAGGTATGTGAATTTGTGGGGGACACAATTTAGCCCATAACACCTCCCCTGTCCCCACCTTCTCACCTGGCCCACCCCATTAGAGGTCTCATCTCTCAGCTCGGTATTACTTGGTCCCCTCCTTCCCTCTTGGGTCAAGCTTAGGTGTCCTCTCAGGCTCCCTAACACCTTGGGCTTAGATCTGTCATGGCCATGTTTAAACTGATGCTTATACACAATAGCAAAGAGGAACCAAAGGGTATAAAAAGTCCTTTCCCCATTCACACCTCAGAGGCATATATTGTTAAGGATTTCTTTTTCGTCCTTCAAAAAAATTTCAATGGTGCACAATGTTAGAAATAAGTCGAGCCCCCCAAGTCAGGGGTCCTGGTAGAACACAAAACATACACAGGAGCCAGGCAGCAAGGCAAACATCTTTACTTCTATGTAGAAAGGTAAACACACACATAGTCTGGAAATGTGTGCACACCCTGAGCAGGCAGTCTGCTTGGCTTAATAATCCCTGACGCACGTGACCTGTCCCTCACTCTTGATTGGAGCTCAGCTCATGGTCTTTCCCAATTGACTAATTCCAAGGGAGGGGGTTGGCCTTTGCTGTTTCAAGATAGCAGCCCCCAGGGAGCTGTAAGCCATGTGGCCAAAATGGTGACTGCCAAGTCACGCAGTCCAAAATGGCGGCTGTCTATACTGTTCTTTGACAGAAAAGATGATTTGTTTATTCTCACAACAAGCACATCCACATCTATATACACCTTTTTTTATGCTTTTTATTTGAAATAATTATAGACTCACAGGAAGTTGCAAACATAGCACATAGAGTTCTGTGAACCCTATGCCCAGCTCCCCACATTGGTGGCATCTTACATAACTAGAGTACAATATCAAACTACAGCATTTAAAAAAACACAGATTGACTCAGACCGTACACTGCCTTCTGCTACCTTTCCTTTATTTAACAGTATGTGTTGGAGGTACTTCCATAGCCTCACAGAGATACCTACTTTCTTTTTTTAAACAACAGCACAGAAATTCAATGTAAGGCGTGCCATCATTTACTCAACATTTCCACTCATTTTTTTCAATCTTTGGTCTCCCAATGAGTTGGGATCACATCTCATTAGTCTCTGCTCTCCTGGCTTCTATGGCAGTGCTTGGATCATAGCAGATCCTAAACAAATCTCTATGAAAAAACAAATCTCTATGGGGATGTATTCAGAGTCACCACTCACGTGGAGTCACTCTGGGACCTGGGAGCACGCAGTTGGGTTAGTGTGCACGTGGCAGGAATTGGTGGGTTCTACCAGAATTCAAGGATGTGATTTATTCACTTCAGAAGACCTGGTGACAATGCTCCTCTCTCACCTGTTGTCAGAGCAAGCGACTTACCTAATCCCTCGCAGAAGGGCTTTTTCCAGAGCCAGTGTCTCCCAACTGCCAATGCCAGGGTTTTCCCATCTCTAACAGCCAGGCCAGTGCTGGCGCTCCATGCCCTGGCAAAACCAGAGGTCCAGTCTGGGTCGATACAGCGTTACCCTTTTTTGAGGGGCAGCCTGCAAGTTCATCTTCTTGGTCGGTAGGGACAGCCAGGACAGAGCAGGGAGGTTTTACCTAGACCCTGGCAAGCGAAGAAAACTCAGCCTCATGTTGGTGAGGAGTGGGGGCGGTGAGAGGGTCAAGGAGCCTGTGTGGGGACCAGGGCTGTGATTGGAGGCCAGGAGTGGAATCACAAAGGCTGGCTCTGCCTCCTCCACCACCAGGATGATGGCCTGCCCTGCTGTAGGTGCCGAGGAAGAGGCAGTTTGGGAAAATTCTGGCTTTTGAAAGCCGGGGCTCCAGCCGTGTGGGTCTTATCTGGAGTCCTTAAGGTCAAGCAGACAGCCTAGGGAAATGGCTCTCTGGCTCTGTGGTGTCAGGGACAACATTTCTGATGCCCCCCCCTGGCAGGAGTCTTGATTAAATTCAAGTTCAGAATCAAAGAAGTCAGCCCTGGGCTGCCTGGGAAATAGTGAGAATTTCAAGTGCTAAGTCTCCAACCACAGCTTCTTTCCTTCCTGTTCTTGGACACACCCACCATAGTCCCACACAAGCCCCTAGGAGAAAGAGGATAACAAGTATGTTTTATAAGCTCAAAGACCTTGGGTCCAGTTCAAGGTCTGAGCATGCCTCTTTGTCTTTCACAGTCCTGGCATTATGTCCCCTCTCCTGTGCACAGAATCCCAGGAACTTAGGTTCTGAAAGGACATTCGGATTTCCTGTAGTCCTCCTTTCCTGTGTCTTGGAGTAGAAGTTCTCAAAGTGTGGCCCATGGACCAGCAGCATCAGCATCACCTAGGAACTTGTTAGAAATGCAAATTCTCTGCCCCCCCCACCAGACCTACTGAGTCAATAATTCTGGGGTGGGGCCCTGGAATCTGTGCCTTAAATTCTGCGGGTGATTGTGATGCACGATCAAGGTTGAAAACCACTGCCCTTGTGTAAGCCTGCCTCACCAGTGCTACATCCTCTAGAAAGGCAGTTCCATCTCCTGACTGCAGTATGCCTTCTGACTGCATGCCTGCTGGCTGATAGATCCCTCCTGCTGCAGACTTTCCACATACATAGTGATCAGGGGAAATTAAATTGTTTAGCTGCTTTCTCAGACACCCGGAGATGTCAGCATGGGGTTTTGCTTCCCACACATAGCAGATGTCCTTACCAGTTAGCAAGGACTTGGCAGTGGGCTTTACACAGACCCTCTGCACCCTGACACCAAGGAGTATTTCCTTTCTGTTTCTAAGGACCCCAGATGCACAGAACTGGATCAAAATTAATTCTTGGTTCATGACATACTGTCATAGTTGGGTCATGCACAGTTCACTTTTTGCTTATTTATTTATTAACTAGAGGCCCGGTGCACAAAATTCATGCAGGGGGGTGGAGGGTCCCTCAGCCCTGCCTGAACCCTCTGCAATTTGGGACCCCTACACCTTTTTCTTATCAAGCTAACTTCTTCACATTTAAAAATTTAACTGAAATACCACCTACTCTAGGAAATCCTCTTTGAACAAATCTCTTGACAATCTGGTGAGTTAGCTCCTAACTCAGTATTAAGTATTTTCATAGTATATCATTCTTCTTCTTTAACAGCAACTTAGTGTGGATGCAATGTGCTTCTCATTCTTGCATCTGAATTTTTTCTTCTTGCTCTTGTAATAGCACAGCTTATCCAATTTACATTTGCCTTTCAAGGGCTTATATTTGGTTCAGTTTCTAGTTGGCTCCCTGCTTTTTATTTTAAGCAATAAATTTGGTTTGTGATAGTAAGCCTCACTTGTAATCAAGCCTATAGGTCTCCCTATCTGAATATTTCTATAATACCTATCATTTTAGCATACCAGAGATTGTGTTCATTTATAGAAAATAACAATGTCACCTTATCATTTAATGTGCCTCAAATATCATAGCATAGTACACAGTTCACATGGAACTCAGCTTCCTTTAAAATAAGAAGGGATCCCGTACTCATGAAGCAGCTACTTCCACACATATTTTTTTTTATTTAATTCACAGCACATAATCTTTGTGCTAATTGTTGGAAAATCATTCCAGCAATTGCCTCTGTTCCTCTCTGTATTGTTGCCTTACATTCTGATGTCATTACTGTGCTTTTATCATCCACTCACTCTAATAAGATTGTGAATTACTTAAGGGACAGTCCAAATGATTGTGATGAGAGAGGCCCACCATTGCTGGAGACCTCTGATTTTTATTTAAGGGGCCTCACTTGTTCTGCACCTTTACAGAGGGGTGAGTAGGGGCTGAGGGAATTTGAGGAAACCCAGACAGAATTCTCCTCCTAAAAGATTTTCCTAAGTAGGTGCCCGGGACCACCGGGAATTTGTCCAATTAAAACCCGGACACACAGCAATAACAAAGGTGCTGGTCTCCTATTGCTAATGCCTAGGGATCAAACCCCAGCCTGCAGGAACTCACCCCCACAGTCAGGACTGGGCCGC